GAACATACAAAATTCATAAGGTCCCTCTAAATCCATCGTAATGTCTCTTCTGACACAACCCTCTAGTCTCATCTCTTTGTTACTCTAGGTAACGCATACTCATGGATATTTCTATTAATATCATTTTCATGCTCTTAGGGTTGTGTCCTATGTCGATCTAACGACATGATGCAATATGGCACTCATCATCATCTAGCATGCTCAATATGGAAAACATCATCATATTAAGGTAAAAATCATGCAATCATCATGCTCATCATAATGCCACAACGTGTGTCAAACATATCAAGCGTCACTCAACAAAATATGTATATACTGGCACATATCATCAAGCATCATACAATTTATTTAGCCTATCCTATAGTAAGGCCACTTACTTGGTTGGCCTTGGTCAAAGTAAATAGTTAAATGTAAGCTCCCGTTCCGTGAGAGCTGCTTCCTACGTCGCCGGGGTTTGTTTCCTATCACACCGTTCACCACTTTCCGTTAGTATTTCACAATTAATTTACCTATAGTTTAATAAATGTGAAATACGGCTCTAAAACAGTCTCGGATACCTTAATCGGGGCTGAAAACAGACCCGGGAGGGTTGAAATAGTGGAAACCGAGCTGAAAACAGGTGAGCCGAGCCGAACAGCCACTGGAGCCGCCGGAGCGTCACCGGAGGGAGCCCAAGCCGTTTGTGCCGAGCCGAGCCGAGGGACTGCCTGCGCCGCTGGGTGACACGTGGCGGCAGCAGAGAGAGCCACGTCGAGCGGTAGTGTCGGGTCGAAGCGTGGGTCGCAGTCTGGTTCGGGTCGTGGTTCGGGTCGCGGGCTATGGAAGGCTACTAGGCCAAGACTAATCGTTGGACCTCGGCTTACTGGGCTGGGCCGCAAGTGTTTGGTTTGCAGGCTGGCTCAATTGGACCGTGGGGTCTAGTTTGGGTTGGTTCAACTGAACCGTAGCTTTTGGGCTGGTTTGAGGTTTGGGCCGCTGTAGTTGGGCTGGGCCGAAGGCAGAGGCCAAGGGAGGAATGGGCTGGCTCTCTTGGGTTTTGGGTTCGGGTTGACCCAGATCCGTGGATCTCGTCTTCCTTACCCGACTTCGGCCGATTTTTTGGTGAGCTTTCTCTCTCCTTCCCACGGCGTTTCCGTTGCCGATTTCGGTCCTCTTCCTTCCCTTTTCCTCTTTGTTCGTCGTCCTTCTTTCTTTTTTGGGAGTTTTGCGGCCTAAAAGCTCCTAAAAGCCACAGATTTAAGAATCAATTAAGAAAACCTAATTTTTCGACCTCGGTTACCGACGACGACGCTTACGAAATAACATAAAACGCACCATTAGTTATTGTGCTTTCGTTAGGGATCCTTCTCATGGTGGTAACAGGTCGTTTGGTGTCGGTTTGAGGGCTCGTCGGAGAAACTGGACACTCGCCGACGTTTGTCCGAAATCTCTCTCTCAAAATTTTCTATCTTTTCTCCCTTTGCAGGTGTTCTGAAGATGCTGGGTGTCGTGGGCTGAGGGCTAGGCGTGCTGTGGCCGTGTTTCGCATGGGTTCCGCGAAACTCGACAGTCGCCGGAAAACTCGCGGGTTTTCCGGCGACTGAGTTTTTAATTTTTTTCTTTTTTAATTTATTTTATTTTTTATTTATTTTTTATTATATATATTTTTCTTTCTTTCCCGGGTCGTTACACCTCTAGCTTTGCAAATTCCAGCATTCTAGGTGCTTATGTAAGTGGGGGCGTCTTATGCAATGAGTATTGCATAAGATCGGACCATGAAGAAAACCACTCTCACTTTATAATGTCGTTTACTGTTGAGACTGATTTTCTTTTCATTCGATAACCTATGTAACTCGGTTTTAATCCTGAGGTAACCATGAAGTTCTGTTTATTCAGAATTATTCTTAGATTTGCATGGGTGAGAGTGGCTCTAGTTCGCCGACTCAATAGGCCTCCAATTTCAGGGGTAAGACTAGGTGAATGGCTGGGGACGTGGGGTGCAAGACAGAATTCACTCCTACTCACTTTTAGGGATAGAAGAGAGGTAGTTCTCTTAAGCACTAACTCCAGGTCTTGAACATGGGGCCCCACCCTCTCATTGCCTTGAGAGGAATTCGGTTTACTGGTTGGACCACAAACCAATTGTTCATTAGAGGATCAGTGAGACATAAGAAACAAGTAGTAACTTCAGGGGTAAAACGGTAAATTGACCCAACTCTAGTTACGAACAACCTGTGAAGGATCGACTTACTAATCATGGTTATATCAAGTGGACAGAAATATATCTATAGTGAGGGGAGTGCAACTACTAGGCTATAATGGAGTGTCCTAGTAGTTAACGAATGTTGGTTAACCAGGTTAATGAGTTTAACCAGTTAATCTTGGATCGTTGGAGCCCATGATCTATAGGTCCATTAGGTCCCTCTGCTAGCTCATATCGGACTAAACCATAGAACAGTGTGACGAGTGAGTTCGAAGTGTTCGAATTCAAATTAAGGAATATGCGCTACATATATACGATATATTTAACCGCATTTTTGTTTTATTTACGAATTAAACAAAAAGAGAGAATCTGAGATATTTAAATAAGATTTAAATATCTTAATCAATTATGTGTCGAAATTGATTGGGATTGGCATTTGAATTAATATTAAATATTAATTAAATAGTTTATTTAATCATTTAATGTTACTCAAATTAATTGTTGAATTAAAATGAAGAAAGTCAAAATGTTGACTTCATTTAATGAAAAAAACATTTGAGTGTCAAAATTTGGTGATCTCAAATTTGCATAAACATGCAAACATGACTTTTTAAATAGAGTGATCATGGTATATGGAAGGTCTCTTCTTCTTGGTGAAAAACCTAGAGAAAAACCTCTCACAAACACTCTCTTCATATATACAAAATCCCTCCCAAGTTTAGTCACTCACCGGGTTCCACAATCTCGTTCTAAGGCTGGAGGATAGTGGAGAAGACACTAGTAGTGGTTCGAAACCGGTTCGTGAGGAAAAAGGAGTTTGAACTACAAAAGGTTAGTATTCAAACTCATTAAGTTTTAATACTTATGAACATGCTAGTTATTTACTATAATTGATGTTCTAATAGTGCTAAGATCCAAATTGCTTCCGCATGTGTTATATTAACACCATCAACCAGCTGTTGGCGGATGAGAGGTTCCAATGGCGGAGGTTGATGAGCTCGTCCATGGCAGTGCCAGAGGAACAGGGGATTAAGGATGTTGAGAATCAGGAGAAGGAAAAAGAGAAGGATAATGCGTTGGTTTCAAGCTATCGGAGGATTTACAGGCTGAAGATTACTAGGGGAGATGGGTCTGAATGGCCTTGGAATTGCTTTATGCCATAGGAGACTTACAGAGCGGATGTGTCCATAGATCTTGGAAAGCACCATGAGCGAAAAGCTTTTCTGAACAAAGTCGCTTACCGCGTTGTGAAGCTTCTTCGAATCCCAACTGATATCTTCTTCCAGAGGCGCTATGGCTGTCAAGCAGTGATGCTATGTATATGAGGGCAGTAAAAGTTACACATGTCAATGACAACAACATGGTGCCAACAGACATGAATAAATCTATGCCAAGCTTACTAGGGTTATTTTTGGTTGGGGGACCTGATCATTCTTAAGGAGTAACTATAGTACAAGATTATCGTGCATGTCAAAGTTTATAAAATTCCTTGTTTGAAAAATTTGTCATTTAAACTTTAGAAGTTGGTACAACAAAATTTCATCTAAATGCCATATCATATCTTAGATTCAAACTAATAATACATAAGTAACTGTCCCACTAAACATAATATGTATAAACAAACAAGGTAAGAACATTATGGTGACATTACATTTGGTTCTTATTATTGAAGTAAACATTAGTTTACAATTTTGAAATTTCTATCAATAAATAGAGGATAGTCATAAAGGCGTTTAAAAACTCATTGAATGAGCAGTTTACAATTTTGAAATTTCCATCATAAAGACCTTTAAATAAAATAAATTTGCACCACTCTTTCAATTGACACTATAGTATAAGTATTCAATTTGGCTATATATATATATGAATAAGACAAAATAAGAACAAGTCATGTCGAGAGAGTGAGAAACCTCCAAAGAAAAAAAAATGAAGTATCTAAACCTCCAAAGAAAAAAAAAATGAAGTATCTAAACATATGTTGTTTAATCGTATTGATTGCTTTGAAACCAAAAAATACGATTAAGTCATGTTTAACCGCATCCAAGATGCAACTTGTACTGCTCAATTAGTAAGTGACCATTTTGATTTAGATAGCGGATTCAACTCTAATGGTTCATTGCAAGTCGAAAGGTAACTATTTGGGCGAACATGACATCAATGCCGGAGGCAAATAAACCTGGAGCTTTAACGAAAATCTTTTGCAAACCACATTGTTTTGATGCAATTTTAGCAGGAAATGTGAGGAAGAGTAATATGAACCAAGAGACATCCATCATACAATATGCTTCAATGAAAATGTGAAGAAAATATTGTTGAAATTATCAAAAGATATTTCAATTTATGCCACATTGAAGAAGAATGAAGTTTCATGTTCTAAATTTTGGGTGGATTACAATTTAGATTTATTGTATTTCATTAATGTATTTTAAGACTTTTAATTTACTTTAGGTTAGGTTAATTATGGCCATTAAGTATGAATGTTACCACTATTGGAATGCCTTTATTAGTTTCATTTTGAGGCTATATAAAGCCATGTATGTTGTATTTGTAGGAAGACTTGAAAAATAATTTGTGCTTTTCTTTAGCCAATGGCTAAGTTTCTTTGCAATTCTATGTAGTTAAGGTTGCATGTAGAATCATTCAAGCTCGACATGATCAATCTTGCTTGTAGAGTGATTCTATAATACCCGAATTTTTAGATAAATAAATAAAAAAATAAAAATAACAACATAGGGGCAAAAGGGTCATTTTGCCCCTACTCTTACCGAGGGTCTAGTTGTTTGAGCTCCAAGAAGAAAGAGAAAGAGAAAGAGAAAGAGAAAAGAAAAGAAAAAGAGAGAGAGAATGAAGAAAGGAGAAGAAGTTAGGGTTTGGGAGAGAGGAAGAACAGAGATGACAAATCGCCATTGGAGATCGAATCCAAGGCAAGAAACTTCGAAGCAACACTTTTCTCAGTGCTGGAAAAGGAGTTCGGGTGGTGGAATCCACTCATTCCGACAAGAAAATCCAAGAACGGACAAAGTAAGGTTCCGAACTTCTTGTTTCGATTTTATCTAGATCTGAGAAGTTTCTTAAGTGTTAGATGTGGAGTTTTTGAGGTATGTGACTAAATTAAGATTCACACAGGTTTCCTGAAGTTCCTAGACGAGTATCGGACGAAAATTGGAGTTTAGTCGAACTTGGGTAAACCGATCGAAAACAGAAAATGTGAGTTGTTCCGTATCTTTGGATGGCCTTAACTCGTCCTGTGTTCAAGGAAAAAAATAAAGGAAAAATATATTGTAGAAGTAGAATATGAGATCTACAACTTTCGTGAAGAAACTTTGCTGATATGGATTACGGATTGAAAGATAAGAAAATCGGAAGAAAATGGATCGAAAACGCAATACTCACGGTTTCTGGAAAATTTGGAAAAAATGGAGGAGGTTAGGCATCGCCGCCACGCGTCGGCCGCCATACGGAGGAGCGTAGTAGGACCGACGACCGACACGTGGCGACCGCGGGCTGGAGAAATGCATCAGGCGTGCGCAACCGGGTCAACCCGAGTTTGAACCGGCGCTCCGCACGCGAACCGAACCGCTCGAGACCGCTCCGACCTGTCCAAACTGACCCGTCTCGACCCGCGACTGCACAGAAAGAAGCGCATGGGTACGCGCGCGTAGAATCCGCACGTAGAACACCCTCCAGAGCGTGTGCAGGTGCGTGGGTGATCTTTTTCCCTTCGTTTGCTTGTTTTTTCGCCCTGATTTCAACTCTGATCCTATTTTTATGTGAATTAGGACCTATCAAGGAAATTCCAGAATTTTTGGAACCTTTTTCCGGTAAATAATTCGAGCTTGGGAAGGCAAGCGTCAACCAAGTAAGTAGCCATTTGGATTTCCACGAGCAATACTTGTAGGAACCGCTAGGAACAAGCATGCATGCTACCACCTATGAAATTAGCTAGTCGGACTTAGCGTGTTATTATAGAAACTGCGAATATAAGATGATTATGGAAAGCTAGATACAAAATGGGTATTAAATCTGTTTTGATTGAGACTCTGATAATGTATGTATGCATGAGGAGGTTGGGAAACTTGTGAAATCTGCGCTCCGGGTAAAGATGGACGTTATCTTCCCTTTGAGCATGTTTGATAATTTTGCATGAACTGCTGCGTGTAAACTCTATTGTATGATGATTGCTTGTATTATCTTTCTTGATGAATAGGAAGAACTTATAAGCTTAGATTAGGATGCTTATGGCTAAATAAGCTAGACGAGACCCTAGATTGGGGGACCTCTAGAATACCGTGCAATTAGGCCCGCGAAATGATTACCGGCAGAACCAGAACCCAGAATTCCAAACCTGATAGGTTTGTGACACCAGGCACGAGAATCCTAGAGAAATACGAATCTAAGTCTAAGCCATCAAGTTCCACCCTAGAAAGAATAATAGGTCACCACGGTAACTATAGGAAGCCCGCTAGAGTTGAGCAGTGTAGATAGTGTCATCAGAACCTCCACTTCCCTCTCTCCTCCGATACCGTACCGTCGAGACAGAGCTCCGGTACGGTGATCGTTGAGCTTTGTAGATCCGGATAGGGAAGTGTGACAGGTGCCCAGACCTAGTGGTGATAGCTAAGGGGTCTTCTGAACAGGACTCCTGGGCCGTAGAAACCCGTCCCTGAGCGGGGGACGTGGAGCCACTTAGGATGACTCAGTAGCTGACCGGCACACAGGGGGTCGCACCCCGATTTGTGGATGTATGGTCCCGTGTGAGGGTCGTCAGTTAACCTCCACGGATGATGTTTAGAGAGAGAGTCACATATTCAGATCCAGCCATACGATCCCCTCAGATTTGCTTATGAGGTCGCGCCTCACCTCAAGACACTGATCATTTCACTCCATAAGATGGGCAAGCCTTTTATGATACAGAAAAGAGAGTTGCAGCTTAGATCACTCTCCTTAGAAATCCGAGAAAGACCGTGGTTACCTACCAAGATAAGGATGCGAAGAGAGCCTACAAGTAGGCTGCTTACTGAGTATATTTTTATATACTCACCCCTTTCTCCCTTTTTTTTTTTCAGGTACCAGTCGATACGGGGAGGTGTTCGAGAGCTGTGCAGTCACAGAGGGGTGTCGTTCCGGAGCGTCAGTCCCTGGTCGGTCTTTTAGAGTCCTTTGTCCGTTTTCATATTTAGAGTCTTTTGTATTTCATTTTTACATTTGCAATTTCCTTTGTAATATTTTCGAAACAAATCTTCTTTCTCTTTTGTTTTAATTGAATGGTATTTTTATCATTTTACTTTGCTTTTCTTTTCTTTTATTTTCTTTTTGTTTGTTTTCGATTTCGTCCTTTTAGTCACGATTTCGATTCTTCGAAGCCTAAAAAATCGGGTCGTGACAGATTCAAATCTCAATCAAGTATTCTTGTCCTGAGATATTTGATCAACAAGAATCATTCAAGTTAGACATGATCGATCTTGCTTGTGGAGTGATTCGAATCTCAAACAATGTTCTTGCCTTGAGATACTCGATCAACAAGGTAATCCTAATCTTACTCTCCTTGTAGTGATTCCTTATCTTATCATTTGGTACCAGAGCTTCAGGCTCAAGATCGGATATATGTTTCCTTTGCGTTTCTTTTCAATTTGTTTTTTATCTTTTTAGTTTTTAATCGACCCAAAATAAAAAAATCCAATCTAGGCTCTACTAAAAAATTTGAGAGGTGAGAATGAGAGATTCATTTGTGTAAATGAGTGCAAACAGAGTGGCCTAAAATTTCTTGAGTGTATACACATGAGAGAGTATTGTGAGGTCCTTTGTATTTCTATAACTTATTTTTTGCAGCAAAGTTTCACAAATAGATTCGAGGACGAATCCTCCTGAAGAAGTGGAGAATGATATGAACTAAGAGATATCAATCATACAATATGCTTCAATGAAAATGTGAAGAAAATATGGTTGAAATTATCAAAAGATATTTCATTTTGACAATACAACCAAGAGAACCCTCCCTCTATTTTTGTTTTCTTTATTTGAATTTTGTATTAGGGGAGAGTCGTTTCAATTTTATATCAAGAACCAAGAGGTTCAAGAGATAAGAGAATTAAGAAAATCCACCAGAAAAACTAATCCAATCTATATGGATGTACTGAAAATACAACATTTTCCCCGGAGAAAAATGTAAAGTTGACCTAAAAAAAATGAATGGTTGAATTTAAACTTGAACCTAAATAAAAATATTTAAAAGAAAATTATAATTCTCAAATCTCACATTTAAGCATATTTTTTTAAAAAATTTTACCTAAAAATCTATTAACGATTAAAACAATATTTTGAGGTCAATAAATAAATAAATAAATATATATATATATATATATATCTTATAATTAATTAATTATAGTGGTGACGACAATATTCAAGACCAACAACTTCGTTTTAAAATATTTAACCATATTTAAATGAGTAAGGTAAGACAGATTAAGCTAACATAACTTTTATACCCTTTAATAAAAGGTATACAGCACATTTTCAACTAATTGTGGTTAAAATATAACTTCATACCCCCTCACTTTGGCTATACGTGTACATATAAAAGAGAATAGAAATAAGTTTTTTAAAAGGGTGAGCAATCTCAGAGAAGAAAATGAAGTCTCTAAGCATTTTATGTTTAATCGTGTTTACTACTTTGACATTGAACAATATTGTAATAGCCAAAAATAAATAAACAAATAAACAAATAAAAATAATTATAATAAGGTAGTTAAAATAATAATAATAAATAAATAAATAAAAATAACGTTTCCCACTTCTCTCCCCTAACCTCTCATCTCTTCCCACAATTATCTCTCCTCTTGACGCCAGAAAGTAACAGTGACTGCAAACAGAAAAAGAAAAACAATAATTGTCAGATTTACTTGAGAAAAAAAAAAGATGAGGATGACCTTTACCCAGTTGAGATTAGTTGAAAATTTAGGTGAAGATAGATCTTATCAATAAAGTATGTATTAAATCTTCATTTTCTTTTATCCTATTTTTTTAGAAATCACAACCATCACAACCAATTATAGTTAGATATTTGTTGAATTATTACCATGATCCATCTTTTAATTAGAAATTAAATGTCAAATCATTTATACGATTCTAGTCAATCATGTCATATTAGTAATATTAGATTAAATTTTGATGCCAAATGAATAGATTAAAGATAGAATGGCCAAGAATAGGAAACTGAGATAAGGAAATAGGAAATACTGAGATAAAGAAAGATTTGGAAATAGAGATCAGTAAATTTGGAATACATGAGAACAAAATTAAAAGGCAACAGATAAAAAAAAATTAGGGAATTAAAAACAGAAACTAAATATGGAGGGAAAGGTAAATACAAAGGGTAAATACAGATAACAGTAAAGCTCAGAATAACTTAGCTGTTATAATATGTGGTTTGTATGATAATAATTATGGTACGATGTGCTCAAGGATATGTTTGAGATAGGGTACGAGAAGGATGCACAAAATGAAATGTAACGATAGGAGTAAGATACGTTCATGAAATGTTAGAGTTAGGTTACGTACTAGAGTGCTATGGATAAGAGAGATTGATGAAAGAATACGGTTAGGTTATGGGTAGAAAGGGATAGGTTTGTGATAGATTGATAGAACGATAGCGTTAGGGTACGTTCTTGTGACGATATAACTAAGGTACGTCACGTAATGATATGTCTGTGATAGGTATAAGAACATTAAGGCTATGGTAAGTTAGAGAACGATATGACTATGAAGTGTTTACGTTATGACTTGGTTATGATATGATACATTGTATGCTAGATTATTGTGCTTAAGTACGAAATTATGTGAACGTGAATGTATGTTATCTATGTTGCTTAGTTGATGTGATACAAATGCATGTGACGATGTGTGGTCTTGTGCGATTATGGCTTGTTGTATGAGTATTGGAATGTAACTGAATGAATTGTATGACATGAATTGTGGATTATGGCTTGTTGTATGAGTATTGGAATAACCTCGCTAGGAATATGTATGATATGTAACGAAATGAGAATGAGAATAACATGTAAGCATGAAAACGTGACACGGGGTTATGTTCATTAAATGATGACTGTAGGACTAGTGGGACCTCATGCATATTGTGTGATCATGCATTTGGGGGGATACCCCTATCCCATCACGAGGGTACGGACGCGTACATCCAAATGGCAGGACAACGATCGTTATGCCCTGCATAGCGCTACCGTGAAAGTTTTAGTTTTAACGGTCCCGGTGGGCCCCCAGAGCATGCCTACCGGCTAGGGACAGTGGCCCAGCGGTGTGCGAACTAGCTGGTGAGCCCATACTCGCACGTATGGGCTGCGTGTAGAGTATATGGTACACGTCCACGATTACCTGTTAAGATTACACCGTAGGGAAAACGAAACGAAAAAGAAATGAAACGAAATGAAACGAAACGAAAGATAAGTCCCATCATTTTATTGCATGTGATTGTTGCATTTAACCCTGGGTCACTTACTAAGTATTTCTTTAAATACTCAAGCCATGTGCTACTACATTTTTCAGGTTAAGGCAAGGCATTCCTGTACGGCTGACGACAGCATCGCAACTCGAGATCATGGCACATGCATAGGATAGTGGTATTTATTTTCTTAGACTTAGGATAGAATAGGATGTTTTAAACTTAAACGCTTGTTTATTTTATTTCGAGTCTTTTGTTGTGTCGTTTTAAAGATGTTTTCGTAACACGTAAGTCCATGGCTATGTTTTAAGTTAAAGGTTATGTTTTATGGAATTTAAATGAAGTCTTCCGCATTCAATGTTTATGGTACGTATATAGTAGCGACCTTAAATTAAGTAGAAAATTTTGGGTCGTTACAAATATGATGAAGTTTTGCATTGCAGAGTCTAAGCTACAATTACCATTCACCCCTTGGCAAGTGACTATTTTAAATTTTATGACGGCTTCAACTCTAACTATTCATTGCAAGTCAAAGAATGATAATCTGGGTGAACAAGTACTCCGCACCGGAGAAAACTACAACTGGAGTTTCAAAGAAAATTTTTGGCGTTCTACGTTGTTTTGGTGCCATTTTAGTAGCAAATACGGACAAGTTACCGGTAATGTTTTTTGGCCAGAGAAAGGGACCTGGTTTAGTGATCAATGCGTTCATCACTTGGGCAGGTGGTGACCAAGGTATTCACTTGTATCTTGGATCTCTCAATGCCTTGAGATTAGTGTATCATTGGAAATAATGTAATCTGACTTTCATTCAATTCTAATGAATAATTTTATGAATAAAAATGTTCGTTATTCTGAGATTAAAGGTCCAATTCTAATAAAATTTGGACTTCAAAAATTTAAAATTCCAATAATGTCTTCAAACTAATTAGTTCAGATAGGATAGCCCTTAACGTTGAGGTACTATCATGAATGCGTCAATAGAAACTGTTTGGTAATGTTATGTATATGACGGCGGTAAAAGTCACACATGTCAATGACAACATCATGGTGCTAAGAGATATGAACAAATCTACGCCAAGCATACAAGGGTTATTTTTGGTTGGGGGACCTCATCATTCATAAGTATAGTACGAGGTTATTCTTCATTTCAAAGATTATGAAATTCTTCATTTGAAAAATTTATCATTCAAACTTTCCACTCTTAGAGAGATACAACAAAATTTCATCTAAATGACATATAATATCTTAGATATTCAAACTGATAATGCATAAGTAACGGTATCCTTAGACATATTATATATATATATATATATATATATATATATATATATATATTCAAGTGAACAAGGTAAGAAAGATAGGGTGACTTTACATTTGGTTAGTGTGTTCATATTATTCATAGTAGATAAATACTCTTTTAAAATATTGAAATTCTGATCAATAAAAAAGAGTATCAGTTACTTATTGAATGAGCCTTTTACAATTTTAAAATTTCGATCAATAACTAGAGGATTTGCGGTCATACAGACCTTTAAATAAAATAAATATACACAACTTTTTAAATTGTACCACAGTTTAAAGGTTAACAGCATACAAGTAACTGTATAGGTACTCAATTTGGTGATTAAGTCGTGTTAGCAACGTCCAAGTTGCAAGTTATACTGTCAGCATCCAAGATGCAACCTGTAGTGTCCAATTGGCAAGATACCATTTTGAATTCGATGGCGGATTCAACTCTGGTGGTTCACTGCAAGTTGAAAGATAACGATTTGGGCCAGCATGATCCAAGCCAACCTATAAGAATCCATAACATCAATTTCATGTTTAATTCTC